TAATCCCCTGACTCGTCTAATCCCCTGACTCGTCTAATCCCCTGACTCGTCTAATCCCCTGACTCGTCTAATCCCCTGACTCGTCTAATCCCCTGACTCGTCTAAAAGCCTAGCGTGGATCTACCTTCGTGTTTCTGCAGGAGTTCTCTTCCTCCCTGGTACCGCCTCTTGGCCAGCTCCATCCTGGCAGGCGGGTTCTCGGGGCTGAAGACCTGAGAGAAGTGGAACGGTTCTTGGCCGTCCCACCAGCCCTGATCCCGAGCCACGGTCCGCAGCTCCGGGTGCTCCGCTGAGATCTCTGTGCCGATGGTCAGCTGATTGGAAATGTTCTTCACTCCAGCTGAAACAGAAACAAGTGACCAGAACCATTACACATTTTAAAGAAATCATCTCGTTGGAGCTAAAAATCTACTTCCTGTCTGTCAGGCTGGTACTGATCTGTATCTGGACCTAAATTTAACCCCTTTAAACCCTGAAACTAAAAACAAATGGTTTGAAATGGAAAAATTATTTTAAAACTAATATTATTTTATTTTTTGACAATAAAAGAAAAACTTTTCTTATATATATATATTGAACAGCCTGCCATACTGGTTGATTACATAATGCAACRACCTGCCATTATTTTTTATTACATGAAACAATCTCCTGCCATACATCGTTAATTATGATACAATGGCCAACCATAACTTTTGATTATATGAAACCACAGCCTGCCACAGTGGTTGATTTCATGATGCAACAACCTACCATAATTTTTGATTACATGAAACAATGGCCTGCCATACATTCTTAATTATGATACAATGGCCAGCCATAATGTTTGATTATATGAAACAACCTGCCATACTTTGTTAATTATGATACAACAACCTACCATAATTTTTGATTACATGAAACAATGGCTTGCCATACATTGTTAATTATGATGCAATGACACAAAATACGCATTTAATTAAATGCTACAAATACTTTTGAATATTTTGTTGTTCAATTTCAAATCTTTTTATTTTATTTTCAGGGTTTTTTTCTTCAGTTTAACAAAAGAACAACTTTTCATTTAAAAACAATTATTTTTTGTTAAAATAATTTTTTAACAAACTTTATGGCTCAAACTGAGCTCCATACTAAGCCTCCATCTGTACCTGGAACTCTGTGTGCGGCCCACAGCCGTCCAGCCGTCTCCAGCACCCAGGCCTCGCTGCGGTCCACCAGGAGGAAGGTGTTGTGGTAGCTGAAGGGTTCTGGGTCCTCCCGGCACTGACCCCCCTGACCGTGGAGCTCCAGGAGGTCCGTGATCACCGTCAGCGCTGTCCGGGCGCTGTCACCGCGCTCCAAGCTCAGCCTGTAAATTCAGCTACTTTTAACCCATCTTTACTTCTGTTAGCTTTTAGCTCATGCTTTGCTTTTTTAGCTTAAACATCAGTATCAGGTTTGTTTGGGGTTTTTTTTGTGCGTTTTTAAATGTATCTGCAGCTCACCGAACAAGGTCCATTCCGAGCAGGGCCTCTCCGGGGGCCACAGGCTCCCGGGTCCAGACCGCCTCGTTCCCGACACACACCCCTCGGTCRTTAGCTCCCATTTCAGCGCCCCACATCCAGGCGGGCTTACTGAGGATGACGGCGTGGGTCCGGTCCACCTGAGGGATCTGGATGAAGGTGCACTGAAGACAGAGACACACACGAGGTTTCACAATGCCGACACACCTTTAGCTGTTTGAAAATCTAAAACTTCAGCTGATTCAGGAGAAGGCTAAAATGACTTTAGATTTTATATTTTTTATTGTTGCTAAAAATAATCTAATGACTTCAGTTCTTTAAAATCTGCTTCAGCTTCTGACCCAATTTATATACTGTACCATTATGCTACATTTAGCTTATACCTAGCCTTCAGCTTTTTTTAGCTATCTTTCTGCTACTCTTAGCTTTCAGTTAGTCTGTTGCTACTTCTGTTGCTACTTTTAGTTTTTAGATACAATTTTAAGACTTTTAGCTTCTAGCTACTATTTTATATAGCTACCTTTTTCTACTTTTAGCTTTTARTTGGTCTTTGGGTAATTTTAGCCTTTAGTTAGTATTTTGGTTCATTTGGGTTCTAGTTAGGCGTTTGCTACCTTCTAGATWCCACTTTTATACTTTTAACTAGTTTTTTGTTATTTTAGATTTAGCAAYTGTTTTGTGACTTAGCTTTCAGCTAGTTTCAGTTTTAAGCTAACCTTTCAATACTTGTAGCTTCTAGCTATCATTTAGCTTTAGTTTACTACATTTCGCTTTTAGTTGGCCTTATGTTACTTTAAGCTTTTAGCTTCCCTTTTAGTTTCTTTTAACTATTTATTTGCTAATTTTTGCTTTTAGCTACTATTTTGTGTATTTTATTAGCTTTTAGTTGTAATTTTGCTACTTTTAGCTCCCAGCTAGCCTTTTGATATTTTCAGCAAGACCATTGTTACTTTTAGCATCTAGCTAATTTGTTGATGAATTTAACTAGCTTTTGGCTACTGCTTTGCTAATTTTAGTTAGTCTTTTAATTACTTTCAACTCTCTCTGTGCTAAATGTAGCTCCTGGCTACAATTTTGTGTTTTTCTGTTTAGCTTTTATTTGGCCTTWTGTTGCTTTTAGCTTCCAGATAGAATATTGCTACTTTTAGCATGTAGCTACTATGTTAATACTTTTGAATAGCTTTTTCCAACATTTAATATGTAGCTGATGTTTTGCTACTTTTAGCTTTTAACTAGTGTTCAGCTGTTTTAGGCTTTTAGCTTTAAAACATTTCAGCTGCGTTCACACTGAATCTGACAGAAAATGCTAATTTTCTGTTGTTTCCTTCAGCACGGCGACCAGGAGGGACTCTAGACAAAGTGTAGCTTATGTAACGACTTCGGCTGCTCTTTGGTTGGGACTTTCCTGCAGCTGTTCAGACTCGTAGTTTCTCAGATATGTTCTGCTGCAGAAACTGATGTGTTTTCCAGAGGTGTCACTAGGTTTTAAGGACAAGGGGGGCTTAGCCCCCAGGAGACGCACAGAATTTTTGTATATTGTATATTTGCATTGTGTGTGTGTG